TTTTATGCACCGTGCTGGTATGAGATAGTCCTTGGTTTATTTATAGAATGCGCATTGCACTTCACTTAAATCTTTTGAGTATGGCTTTACAGAATGCTTCATGTGCTTCACTTATATCATTTGAAGTTTGGATTGCCTGTTTCTCTTCACATAGACAGCCGCCATTTGTAGAATGCTCTTTTGCTTCACTTATATTTGTTAGAGCATTGGCATATCTTTTGTATAAAGAATTAAACTCTCTTGCTTCACTTATATCTATTTAGAGAGATGACAGGAATTGGTCATTCACATGGTTAGTCATAAAATCCTACATATAACTTGTAGATCATTGAATATGATATGTTTGATTCCTTGCAATAGTTTTGCGATATAAAGGTGGTGATATTAGAGTCGTTCTAGTTGAGTAATTGTGAAATTGAGAAACACTTGTGTTGAGGTTTGCAAGTCCCGTAGCATGCACGTATGGTGAACCGTTATATAACGAAGTTGGAGCATGAGGTGTTTTTTTGATTGTTTTCCTTATGAGTGGCAGTCGGGGATGAGCGATGGTCTTTTCCTACCAATCTATCCCTCTAGGGGCATGCGTAGTAGTACTTTGCTTCGAGGGCTAAGTAGACTTTTGCAATAAGTATATGAGTTCTTTATGACTAATGTGAGTCCATGGATATACGCACACTCACCCTTCCACTCTGCTAGCCTTTATTATGCCGCGCAACCTTCGCCGGTATCATGCACCCATTATTTACCTTCCTCAAAACAGCCACCATACCTACCTATCATGGCGTTTCCATAGCCATTCTGAGATATATTTCCATGCAACTTCCATCATCATCATATACATGACTTGAGCATTCATTGTCATATTGCTTTGCATGATCGTAAGATAGCTAGCATGATGTTTTCATGGCTTGTCCATTTTTTGATGTCATTGCTATGCTAGATCATTGCACATCCCGATACACCGCCGGGGGCATTCATATAGAGTCATATCTTTGTTCTATCGAGTTGTAATATTGAGTTGTAAGTAAATAAAAGTGTGATGATCATCATTATTAGAGCATTGCCCCAGTGAGGAAAGGATGATGGAGACTATGATTCCCCCACAAGTCAGGATGAGACTCCGGACTTTATGAAAAATGAAAGAGGCCAAAGAAGCCCAAATAAAAAAATAGGCCAAAGAAGCCCACCAAAAAAATAAAAAAAAGAAAAAGAAAAAAGAAAAAAATGAGGAAAAAGAAAGAAGGGGCAATGTTACTATCCTTTTACCACACTTGTGCTTCAGAGTAGCACCATGTTCTTCATATAGAGAGTCTCTTGAGTTATCACTTTCATATACTAGTGGGAATTTTTCATTATAGAACTTGGCTTGTATATTCCAATGATGGGTTTCCTCAAAATGTCCGAGGTCTTCATGAGCAAGCAAGTTGGATGCACAACCACTTAGTTTCTTTTGTTGAGCTTTCATATATTTATAGCTCTAGTGCATCCGTTGTATGGCAATCCCTACTCACTCACATTGATATCTATTGATGGGAATCTCCATAGCCCGTTGATACGCCTAGTTGATGTGACACTATCTTCTCCCTTTTTGTCCTCACAACCACCACCATATACCACCATAGTGCTATGTCCATGGCTTGTGCTCATGTATTGCGTAAGAGTTGAAAAAGCTGAAGCGCGTTAAAAAGTATGAACCAATTGCTCGGCTCGTCATCGGGGTTGTGCATGATTTGAATGCTTTGTGTGATGAAGATGGAGCATAGCCAGACTATATGATTTTGTAGGGATGAGCTTTCTTTGGCTATGTTATTTCGATAAGACATAATTGCTTGGTTGGTATGCTTGAAGTATTACTGTTTTTATGTCAAATGATAGACTATTGCGCTGAATCACTCGTGTCTTAATATTCATGCCATGATGAGACATATGATCAAGATTATGCTAGGTAGCATTCCACATTAAAAATTATCTTTTTATCATTTACCTACTCGAGGACGAGCATGAATTAAGCTTGGGGATGCTGATACGTCTCTATCGTATCTATAATTTTTGATTGTTCCATGCCAATATTCTTCAACTTTCATATACTTTTGGCAACTTTTTATACTATTTTTGGGACTACCATATTGATCAAGTGCCCAGTGCCAGTTCCTCTTTGTTGCATGTTTTATGTTTCGCAGAAACCCAATATCAAACGGAATCCAAACGGGATAAAAACGGACGGAGAATTATTTTGGAATATTTGGGATTTTCCGGAGGAAGAATCAACGCGAAACGGTGCCCAAGGTGGCCAGGCGATAGGGGGCGCGCCTGGCACTCTTCTGGGCCACCCGTAAGGCGGTTGACGCTCTTCTTTTGCTGCAAGAAAACTAGTTTTACGATAAAAATCTGGGCAAAAGATTCACCCCAATCAGAGTTACGGATCTCCGGATATAAAATAAATAGTGAAGGGGAAGGATCTGGGAACGCAGAAACAGAGAGAGACAGAGAGACAGATCCAATCTCGAAGGGGCTCTCGCCCCTCCCAAGCCATGGGAGCCAAGGACCAGAGGGGAAACCCTTCTCCCATCTAGGGAGGAGGTCAAGGAAGAAGAAGAAGAAGGGGGGCTCTCTCCCCTTGCTTACGGTGGCGCCGGAATGCCGCTGGGGGCCATCATCATCACCGCGATCTTCACCAACACCCCTGCCATCTTCACCAACATCTCCATCACCTTCCCCCATCTATATCCAGCGGTCCACTCTCCCGCATCCCGCTGTACCCTCTACTTGAACATGGTGCTTTATACTTCATATTATTATCCAATGATGTGTTGCCATCTTATGATGTCTGAGTAGATTTTCGTTGTCCTAGTGGTGGTTGATGAATTGCTATGATTGGTTTAATTTGCTTGTGGTTATGTTACTGTCCTATTATGCCCTTCGTGTCGCGCAAGCGTGAGGGATCCCTGCTGTAGGGTGTTGCAATATGTGCATGATTCGCTTATAGTGGGTTGCTTGAGTGACAGAAGCATAAATCCGAGTAAGGGGATTGTTGCGTATGGGATAAAGGGGACTTGATGCTTTAATGCTATGGTTGGGTTTTACCATAATGAATCTTTAGTAGTTGCGGATGCTTGCTAGAGTTCCAATCATAAGTGCATATGATCCAAGAAGAGAAAGTATGTTAGCTTATGCCTCTCCCACATAAAATTGCTATCGGTCTAGTAACGTAGTCAATTTCTTAGGGACACTTTCACAACTCCTACCATCACTTTTTCACACTCGCTATATTTACTTTATTGTTTCTTTATCTAAATAGCCCCTACCTTTTATTTATGTGTTCTTTATTATCTTGCAATCCTATCCTATCACACCTAGCTACAAAGTACTTCTAGTTTCATACTTGTTCTAGGTAGAGCGAACGTCAAGCGTGCGTAGAGTCGTATCAGTGGCAGATGGGGTTTGAGAAAATATTTGTTCTACCTTTAGCTCCTCGTTGGGTTCGACACTCTTACTTATCGAAAGAGGCTATAACTACCCCGTATGCTTGCGGGTCATCACTCCTCATCGTCGTGAAGCATCGCCACGACAGATGTGAGGGCAGCCAGGCTGCCAGCGCAACACGACGCGTTGCACGGTGTTCGCCAAGTCCTACGAAGCGTCGGCCTTGGTTCACGCAAACCTCGACCTCGTGAAGGCCCCGTGCCGTGGGCGACCGATGACCACCATGGAGACGCCCTCGTGCCTTTTGGAGGGGCACGGTCAAGGATCCCAAGGCCAGGTTCGGCGTCGGCCGCGCCGGCCCTCCACACGATGCAGGAGGAAGCAGATCGGCTCCTTTGCGAGCGCCAAGCGGCGACTGGTCAAGGCGGCCGCTCCCCCGCTACCTTCCGCCGCTCGAAGGACCACTCCGACCCTAATGACATGGACCGTGCCACTGATGAGCGATATTTTTGCGCTCATGCATGCCACCATTGTTTAAGACGGATAATACTGAAATTTTTGAGAGAATCACTCCGATATTGATACTAATGACTAACGAATGCAAGAAATTATGAAATTCTTTCTTTAATGTGTTACCACACGAAATGGGCTCAAATAGGGAAGAATAACATCATATAAGAGGAAACAAGAAGTATGGAGAAGAAGGCAAATCAATTGAAGGCGCAACATGCTACTTGAAGACGTACGCCATCTCTTTGCCTAACCTAAACGGATATAATTTGAACAAAACGAACATCCGTTCGAGGCCGTGCATTAGATCTGGTGCAGAAATTATCATAAAGTGACGGGGTAGGGCCCACTTCATTTCTTTGACGGAGCAGGCTACAACTTTATGCAAGTTTATCCGAATTTTTGGTACGTCAACCTAGCTGAAAGGCAACACATCTATGAAGAAACGGTGCAATTGTACAATAAAGACAAATATGTAATTGATTATGCATGATAAAATATGCTATGGGACGCGTTCGGCCGTCCACCAACTTCCTCAAATTCTAGAATCTGCCGAGCAGCTGTTTGCTGGCTGCAAGGATTTTAACTACTTGGGGAGCGGAGCCAACGCGGCCGAACTCAATGATGAAAAAGATATATGCATTAATTGCAACATCACGCATAATCAAGTGCTAGGGTGGCAAACTGGCAACTCCCTTAGAAACCATGCAAACTCGCGACTAAGGTCATGGAGAGTGCAAATGGCAAGATTGCCTTTGGTCAACTCTTGTGATCGATCAACAGAGAGTACTCCAGTGTAGGAGAGAGGCAAATATGCCGGCTCATCACCTAGCTAAACTAGGTCTTTCCCTCCCAAGTGGAGAGGTTCTTGTATCAGATGTTGATGTACCAGCTATTGTAGTTGTTATGGGCGACTTAGGCCCAGCGGTTGCGTAATAAAGCTTATGCTTACTCTAAAAAAAAAGGAACTCTTGTGATCGATCAACAGAGAGTTCACTGTGCCATTCAAAGGCAGGTGTTTCTGAACAAACTGAGCAAGGAATTCCATGCAAAGGATGACCGGCCGGTCACCTGTGTTTCCATCGGTACCTAGCAGACGGGGAGTAGATTGCGCCGGTGCCGGTGCGGCTGCGACGACCCTGCTGCTTCTGCTTCTCGTGGCCGCCTGTCGCGGGCGCCTTACCATGGCCATGGCGGCGACCGGTGGTATTCTTTTCCCCGTCGTCCTCCGTCTCCGTCATCATCTCTCCAAAGCAGGCAGCGGCATCCACCGGCAGCTCCTCAAATGAATCGTCTTCTTCTACGTCACCATCCACCCGTCCATTGAAGGAAGAATACCACGGTGAACTGCGGAAAGGACTAGGAGTAGGAAGAACAAGCCTATGGTCCCTCTGTCGCGTGGCCCACACAAACATCTCCTTCCAGCTCGCCGCCGGCAGGTCGTCGTCGGAATCGATGTCGCAGAGGAGCGACCACCACAACGTGTTCCCCGGCAGCGCCTTGTACCTGGGCAGCCAGAGCTGGCGGTCCCGGTCGGCCACGAAGCGCCTCAGCTCGGTGCAGGTGCTCTCCACGCTCACGAGGTCCTTCCCGTCGGCGAGGCTCTCCAGGATGGCCACCATGGCGTCACCTGGGAGGGACGTGAGGGTGGGGGCTCGCGGCGGCGGCGCTCGCCCCAGCACCACGCCGTGCTCGCGGCATATATCTGATAGGATGCGATGGCAGAACCCGTCGGTGAGCGACCTCCAGAGCGTGGCCGTCCGGGAGCCGTCGCTCCCCAGCAGCCTTCGCCCCGTGTCGTCCAAACCGCTGGACAGGAGCGGCGCGACGGAGAGCGTGTCCAGGCACACCCAGTACGTGCGGATCTGGACAGAGCAGACCTGCAGCTGCAGGTAGAAGATGACGTGCCGCCCGTTGGTGCACATCCTCAGCGCGGCGCCGTCCATGTCGTGCCGGGGCAGCAGCTGCGGTGCGGTGTACTCCAGGGACAGGGTCGAGGCCGTCGCGCCCACCTCTGTCGGAAGCCGGCAGGTAGACGACGGATCCCCGCTGTGGCGGCGGGCCACGATGAAGCCCGACTCGAGGAAGGCGGCGTGGACCACGATGACTAGACGACCCAGGAGGCGCTCGGCGTCCCACTGGCTGGCTTCCACTACCCCGTAGAGGGGAGAGACCAGCGACGACATGGCTGGCGACGAGCGCGAGGTGAGGTCAGGTCATCACTCGATTGTTTAAAGAGGTGTCGTCTGGGTGAGTTTTCAATGGCAAGAGCTAAGCTGGTTTGGCGAAGCCCATTGCAATGAGATACAATAAGTCCCCATCCGACATCTTGGAAATTTCACCACAGCTTTCTACCTAACTCCTTTTTCCTAACGCGGTATGAACACAGACGCTAATACTGCCTCTGTAAACTAATATAAGAGTGTTTAGATCACTACGGAGGGAGTACATATTAAGAGCATCTCCAACATCCGCGCTAAACAAGCGCCGCGCCGCCAATTTGGCCATTTTAGCGCGCGTGAAACCGGTAAAGTGGCTCCAGCCGGCGCACAATAACTGCGCGCGCGGCATATGGAGTTGGGCGCGCGGTCCGAGTCGCCAATTCGCGCTGTGTATTTGGCGCGCCCGCTTCTGCGCGCGGCACACACGAACGCTCGCGCCGCACTCTCTCCTCCCCGCCACCTTCGCTCCGCGCACCCGGCGGCGGCGAACTGAACCTGATGGACGCACGCGCCGGCACCCCGCTCAGCCCATCCTACAGCCGCGACCCCTCCACCGCCGCCGCCGCCGCCGCAAACCCTAGCGCGGGGAGCGTTGGCCTCGCCTCCACCGGAGCTCCTCCGAGCATCGGCCTCGCGCGCGGCC